GAGAGAGAGAGAGAGAGAGAGAGAGAGAGAGAGAGAGAGAGAGAGAGAGAGAAATCTGACTTGACTGACTTGACTTAGGTGTCTGTATGTTACATTTTTAATTTTCTATATGCTTTTTATTGTTATTTTGCACTATGTCCAAAATGTTTTTCATAGTTTGTGTAAAACAGTTTGAAACATGCCTCGATGCTGAAATGTGTTCTATAAGTAAAAATGTCTTGCCTTAGAAAATTGAAAAAAAAATTGTAAGATAAAAAGCAGCGTCTGCTTGCTGTCTTGATTGTACCAACATTTACAATTTATAAAAACAAAACATTTTTAAACTTATAACCTAACGAGTTTGCTGATAAGTAAAAGTTAATAAAACAAAGTGTTATCCTGATGCATGCTCAATAATCCAGGTAGAAAAAACTAAAGTTAAGCCTGGTCCTGTGGACATTAAAAAAAAAAAACTACTAAAAAAAAAATGTAGATATGTTTTGTCTTTCATCTGAAAGACTTTCTCAGTCTGAAGTGCTGTTTTCAGCTCAGTCTCTTAAATAGCACCTTCTCAGAGTGGATCAACCAGTTTTGCTGCTGACAACCAGAACCAGCTGATCACATGGTCAAGACGGACCATCAGCCTAACAATGGATCATTAGCACACTGATGGCTGTTTACTATTATAGGCAGAAACATGGGTGTGCTATGGGGTCTCCAGTTTCTCCTATTGTTGCCAACCTGTACATGGAGGAGGTAGAAAAGAGAGCCTTGACGTCCTTTTCAGGGACACCACCAAGTCATTGGTTCAGGTATGTTGACGACACCTGGGTTAAAATCAAATCTCAGGAAGTCCAACATTTTACTGACCACATCAACTCTGTGGATAAATACATCAAGTTCACACGAGAAGATGAAAAAAATGGCAGGTTGGCTTTCTTGGACTGTGAGGTCTCAGTCTCTGATAGAGGACATTTGCAAACTGAGGTGTACCGCAAACCCACCCACACAGACCAGTATTTGCAGTTTGACTCCCATCACCCTTTGGAGCACAAGTTAGGAGTCATCAGGACTCTGTACCACAGAGCAGACAGCGTCCCCACTAGCTCAGGAGCCAGGCAGAAGGAGAAATCCCACACAAGACAGGCTCTAGAGCAATGTGGATATCCTAACTGGGCCTTCCTGAAAGCAGAGAAGAAACCCAAACAGGACTCCAGTCAGCCAACAGGTGAAAAGGAGGAACCCAGACCCAGACCAGTGGTCATTCCATATGTTGAGGGAGTATCAGAGAAACTGAGACGTTTATTTTCTAAACACAACGTCCCAGTGGCTTTTAAACCCCAAAATACATTATGGCAAAGACTGGTTCATCCCAAAGATCCAGTCCCCCGGCACAAACAGAGTAATGTTGTGTATGTTGTTCAGTGTCAGGAGGGTGATCAGTCTTACATCAGGGAAACTAAACAGCCACTGGCCAAAAGGATGGACCAGCACAGAAGATCAACATCATCAGGCCAGGACTCTGAGGTCTACACTCATCTCCAGGCCAGCGGTCACTCTTTCAGGGATGAAGATGTTCACATCCTGGACAGAGAGGAACGATGGTTTGAGAGAGGAGTAAAGGAGGCCATCTTTGTGAAAAGAAATCGTCCATCATTAAACAGGGGTGGAGCCTCCGGGTTCAACTGTCCCCCTCTTACAATGCTGTGATTGCTAGTATCACTCAACCCTCTGTGAACAGTAAACAGCCATCAGTGTGCTAATGATCCATTGTTAGGCTGATGGTCCTTCTTGAGCATGTGATCAGCTGGTTTTGGTTGTCAGCAGCAAACTGGTTGATCCACTCTGAGAAGGTGCTATTTAAGAGACTGAGCTGAATACAGCTCCTCAGACTGAGGAAGTCTCTCGGATGAGAGACGAAACGTTTCTACATTTTTTTGTTGATTTGCTTTGTTTTGTTTTTTTGAATGTCCAGAGGACCAGATTTAACTTTTTTAGACTCTGTACATGGACTGCAGCAGAATGAGGTGTTTCCATGATGACAGTTGGTCTGGGTTAGGGCTGGGCGATATCTCGATATTTTTAAAATATGATGGACTTGATGTACTTGCGACCTGTCCAGGGTGTCCCCCGCCCCTCGCACAGTGATTGCTGGACATGAGCACTGGCGACCTATTGACCCAAAATGGAAGAAGCAGGTAAAAGATAATGGATGGAGATAAAAAAAAATTTTTGCAATATAATTTGAGACTATCTCGATATAAACCAATATAGTTTTATACTTAGAAATCCTGCCGTCTTCTTTCTCCCACTCACCCCCCTCCTTCTACCTCCTCGAACACAAACACACAGCCCTCAGCCACGTTCCCCCTCCCCTTTCTGCATCTCCAAGAGGTGGACGGGCAGGAGAGGAGACATTTAGTAGAAGTAAACACGAGCAGCTGAGCGTGTGTGAAGCTACTAGCTCCGACAGACCTGTCTCCTTTCTTGAAATAAACCACGGTTCAGAGCTCATTTAGCCATGCTGTGCCTGAGCGCAACATTAATAAATCAGCAGTTTATCATATCGCTAAAGATACGGTCCTTAGCGGCTAACAAGATGGCTAATGCTTTAGCCTTCTTGTTCCACACAGCTGAGACTGGACCGTATTTTTAGAGATATGATAAATTGCTGATTTACTAATGTTGCGCTTCCTCTCTCTCCGTTCCTCTAAAAGGCACAGCACGGCTAAATGAGCTCTGAACCATGGTTTGTTTCAAGGAAGGAGACAGGTCTGTCGGAACTGCAGCTTCAAGGTTCCAAGTGGGGGCTCACTACCGTAAATGGTAAATGGACTGTACTTATATAGCGCCTTTCTATCTTATTTCAAGATACTCAAAGCGCTTTCCACTACACTGTGTCCTCATTGACCCATTCATACAGCACTCTACTAGCTCTCTACAAAGCTAATTGAACAAATCATTCTAAAGAGTCTAATCAGAGCTTTATCACATTCATACACTGATGGAACACACATCAGAGGCTATGAGGGGTTCAGTGTCTTGCCCAGGGACACTTAAGCATATGACTGCTGGTAGAATCAAACCCCCAACTCTCCCACTGAAGGACGACTGCTTTAGCATCTCAACCACAGCTGCCCCCAGCTGAAGAGAATTATTATTTAATATATGTAAATAAATGTCTAAAAAATGAACTATTTAATATATGTAAATATTTTATTTTTTAGGCATTTATTTCGTACAGTTACACCTGTTGTTAATAAATGTTCCTGTGTGACTGGGACAAAACTTAACTCAAATATATTTTTGTTATTACTTTATGGAAAGGAAAAATATCGAGATATACATCGTATATCGCGATTTTTGTAAAAATGTTGAGACATTAATTTTGGTCCATATCGCCCAGCCCTAGTCTGGGTGTACCTGCAGGTGATGAGAACTGTAGGAGGACACTGTTGCAGCCCAGAGTGATGATGAACGACTGTTTTCCCACACGGCTGCACTCGGTCTCCCTGGAAACCGAACACTTGAAAACGCTCGTGTCCTCTCCTACAAAAGACAAGAATGGGGATGTATTAAATAAGAGCTGAAATACAATAAGGCTTCGCAGAACAAATCACAATTCAGTATGTTTTAAGTACAGTCACTGTATAGGCAAAGAGTTGGGATGTAATAAAGAACTAGGATATAATAGCAAAGAATTAGGATGTATCAAGACCGTAATTTCCGGACTACAATGCGCACCTGAATATAAGCCGCAAATATTAAATATAAGATAAATCATAATTTTGTACATAAATAAGATGCACCGGCTGTTAAGCCGCAGGTATTCACTGTATAGTGAAAGTAAGCGCCCAACTTTGTCTGTGTTGTACTTGATGTAGTACAAAACTCAGACACTTGATGGCAATCACAGTCTATGGCTTGCTTTTAACATACACTAAGCTTGAGTGGTCATCCTAGGTATAACAACAAAGTCCATGCTCAAAAATCCAGGTATACAATCCAACATTTTTCAGTTTTTCACCTGACTGAAAAATGTTGGATTGTATACCTGGATTATTGAGCATGGACTTTGCTGTCAACCAGTTTGACATGACTGTCAACAAAAAAGAGGGCCGGCAATGGAGGAGGGGGTGTACCAAAGAGACCATCTTATCACAAGCAGAACTGGTTTGTTCCACTTTGGAGTAAGCTGTTGGGGGAAGAATCAGTTTTGTTGTGTGTTCCCTTGACTGATGAAGTCTTCTGGATGGAAGGGGAAATGTTTCAGCACAAAAAAAAGAAACTGTCCAGATGACCTTATTGAAAAATGTTGGATCCTAGGTATACTTAAAGCTTCAGGTTTTGACTCATGGTAACAGACATTATACCTTTAAATGAACAAAATACTGGTAAATATCTACTGGTAAGCATAATCACTGGACACAAAATCACAACAAATGGGCATACAAGTGTCAAACACTTGCATAACTGAAATTATTAAAAAATTATATACACCGGGAAATATTACCCAGAAGTCTTAAGGGGTCATGTGACCGGAAGTGAAATACCATAGTACAGATAAAATGTGGTAAATATTCATTAAATCACTGGTAGAACCACTGATTTTTATTGTTAAATAGTTTTGGTATCAGCTGCGGTTTTTAAATGTACATTTTTTTCCTAAATTATCATATATTAATTACCAGGTGGCACTCTTGAGCCGTTTCTGTTGTGATTTTTGCGACGCCCTTAAAATACGTAGTTTTTCACCAGTCCTGATGCGTCCGCCAAATTTGGCGAGTTTTGGAATATGTTAAGGCCCCCAAAAGGCCAATTCATTTGACGGAAAAATTCCTCGGGTCTAATAAACTGAGCAATTACAATAGGCCTTCGCAGTACTTTGCTGCTCAGTCCTATTTAGGCACGAGTAGCGAAGCAATTTTTTTGGCAAATTAATTGGCCTTTTGGGGGCCTTAGCATATTCCAAAACTCACCAAATTTGGCGGACACACCAGGACTGGTAAAAAATTACATATTTTAAGGGCGAAGCAAAAATCGCAACAGAAATGGCTCAAGAGCGCCACCTGGAAATTTTCAAAATACCCTCTGCATTAACCTTAGTTTGTTGTAGAAACATGGAATTTGGTACGCTTGTCCAGATCCCAAGATGCACAGAAAACCTTCTGGCACCAACGTTGTACGATAAACAGGAAGGCGGCCATTTTGGAATGACAGCCCAATTTTTACATCTTTTTGGCGATTTACAGCCTCCGCATTTGAACAAACTCCTCCTAGGGATTTCGCTCAGTCGATTTCAAACTTGTCCATTTTGGTCAAAAGGCATGGGGGAACGTTATCTATAGGGATGCACTGATCCACTTTTTTAAACTTCCGATCCGATGCCGATACCTAAGACTGAATATCGGCCGATATGATCCAGTTCCGATACCATCATCATCATTGATTTTACATGAGGCTGTAATAATCTGCTCTCAAGTACAATTTGTACAAATATATGCATGCATGTCCAAAAAGGCAACTTGAGGTAAGTTTTATTAATGTTGGATAAGTTTTAAAGTTAGAATTAAATTCTGCTAACACAAAACATGTTTGTTTTTATTCCTAGCTTTAAAGTGGATATTAAAGGGATTAATTTAAGTGATTGTTTAATTGTTATTTTATATTATTTAAATAAGGGTCAGATATAATATTTTTCTTCTTTCTGCACTCTTTTCATTCAATGTTTTCTTTTTGATGATTTTTTTTAATTTATTTTGTTTATTTTAAATGATAGAATAAATGAATTAAAATAAAATTTTAAATGGCTTCAAACACCTGCTAAGTTCATGGTATAAACCAACAAACATGTTCCTGGTTTTAGTATTTTACATCACTATAATGTAGCTGTTTTTTTGTTTTGTTATATATATATATATATATATATATATATATATATATATATATAATTATCAATTCATATGTTTTTTTATGATTGTTTACTGTTGTACTGATAAATATCTCCTGGAGGGTAAACTATATCTTGATAGCATCAAGCTGAGAAATCCTTCATTTTCTACAATTGATAGTGGCTGGTCATTAATCATGATGAAGTTTATCAACTTCTCTGTAAACATTTGAGCTCCGTGGTTTCAGCGACGTCTTCTTCTTGTTCAATCTGAAGCAGGCAGTTTGATTTGGGTCAGCCGTGCTCAGTCTGTCCCTCCTCAGAGACGGCAGACTGAGCGGGGCAGATTGGACGCAGCTGGCCGGGGTGGAGTCGCCTTTATCAAGTTGAGCAAAGAGCAGCGCCCCGCTGAAGCCACGGAGCTCGAATGTCCAATCTACAACTAACTTTAACATGGTTTAATGTGACGCTATGGCTCTGCAGACATTGCTGTCTTGTTTTGTGGTGTTTCTAGTGTAAAATACTTCCACACAGCGACATGTTTAGTTGAAAAGTTTGTTAGCTGTGAGCAACAGTGCTGCTAACTCAGTCCTCGCGTTGTACAGTGGGGAGAACAAGTATTTGACTGTTGATTTTTCAGGTTTTCCCACTTGCAAAGCTTGTAGATGACTGTAATTTTTATCATAGGTACTCTTCAACTGTGAGTGATGGAATCTAAAACAAAAATCCAGAAAATACAATGTATGATTTTTAAATAATTAATTTCCATTTTATTGCGTGAAATAAGTATTTGATACACCAGAAAAATGAAACTTAATATTTGGTAAATTCAAAAAGCGTTCAATACAAAAACAACTGGACTTTATTTGTAACAAAAGACGTTTCGCTCCTCATCCGAGGAGCTTTCTCAATTCAAAGAGCAGAGAGTGAGAGATACAGGTTATAAGGCTGAGTGAGATAAGACACACACACACATAAGACACACACACACACACATAAGACACACACACACACACACACACATATATGTAGATTGGCAGTTCACACCTAAAAACCTAAACAGTAGGTCTTTGTTCCTCTAATTCACAGACGAGGCCCCTCTGTTCCCATCAGGTGTGAAAACTGGCTGGGAATCTGTTTTAAAGTTGCATTATATGTTTTTGAAAGTGGGAATCTGAGGCCTCCTCCTCTGTTAAGAGACGGCTTTTCTCTTTTTACATAAATTGCTTCCTTCACCCCCCTCTCAAACCATCTGTGTTCTCGGTCCAAAATGTGCACATTTTGGTCCTCAAAAGAGTGTCCCTTATCTGTGAGATGGAGGTGAACAGCTGAGTCTTGTCCTGTGGAGCTGGATCTCCTGTGTTGAGTCATGCGTCTGTGAAGAGGCTGTTTAGTTTCTCCAATGTAGAGGTCTGGACAGTCCTCGCTGCACTGGACCTCATACACTACACCACTCTGTGTGTATGGGTGTTTTGTCCTTAGGGTGGACCAGCCTCTGTCTGAGAGTCCTGCTGGGTTTGAAATGTACTAGGGATCTTGTGTTTGTTGAAGATCCTTGTGGTCTGGAGCACAGGGTATCCCTCTATGCTGATGACCTCCTACTCTTCATCTCTCACCCGACTGACACATTGCCTTCCATTCTATCATTGCTTAAGGAATTTGGAATACATTCTGGTTACAAATTAAACTTAAGTAAAAGTGTAATTTTCCCCATTAATACCTTGGCACAGGCTCTTGACTTCAGTAATTGGCCTCTGAAAGTTGAGAATCAAAAATTCTCTTACCTGGGTGTTATAGTTACTAGGATGTACAAAGATCTGTACCAAGAAAATTTTGTCTCTCTACTGAACCAGACAAAGCAGGCGTTATCCCGGTGGTCACCGCTTTCCACATCTCTCATAGGCCGCATTAATTCAGTCAAAATGCTCACTTTGCCTAAATTTTTGTATCTCTTCCAAACCATTCCAGTTTTTATTCCTGGTTCATTTTTTGTGCAATTAAATTCCATCATTTCATCGTATCTCTGGCAGGGAAAACGTCCGCGCTTAAATAAGACACATCTCCAAAAAACCAAGATCGCAGGCGGCCTTGCCCTTCCAAATCTCCGTTTCTATTATTGGGCTGCAAACTTGCATTGCCTTGCATCTTTATCATTCTATTACAATAGGCCGGACTGCCCTGACTGGGTAGCGATGGAGTCAATATGTTCCGGGAAGTGGTCCACCCTGGCCTTTTTGGGATCCTCGCTCCCACTTCCACCACTTACAACTATTACAAACCCAGTTGTTAAACACTCACTAAAAATATGGGTACAATTTCGTAAATGCTTCGATCTCTCCAGTTTCTCTCTCTATACCCCTATCATGTCTAACCAGTCCTTCAAACCCTCATCTCAGGACCCTGTTTTCAAAGAATGGGAGAGAAGGGGCATAGTACGCTTCAAAGACTTGTTCCACAATAACACTCTAGCTTCATTTCAACAATTAAGTGAAAAATTTAGCCTTCCTCAATCAAACTTTTTCAGGTATCTCCAAATACGACACTTTATTATCCTTCATCTGCCAAGCCTCTCCATTTCAACAGATACCAATACTGTTGATACTATTCTTTCTCTAGACCCTAATAAAAAACATTCTATTTCATCCATCTATAGCAGATT